TATAAGTAGCTTCATTCTACTTAATTCACACGTTGTTAAAAATTTTTTTTGTTATATGTAGAGCAGAAGTGTACCTTCGGTCCTCAATTATTATACAATGACTTTATGTTACGCCATTCGGAAAATAGAAAATTTTTATTAGTTCGTGTTATTCAAAACTCATTCAGTATTACAACAAAATAAAAGCTCCCATTACAAATACTGCACTTAAACAAGACCCTTTTGTATTAAGAAGAAAAAACAAAGCACGTTTTTACTGGCGTCTCAACTCAACTGGTGTTCCTTTATTTTCTTAACTTTTCTGCAGGTTGATTAAGCAGCAAAAACAACGCATTGCACTTTATGATGAAACAGGGAAATAAACTTACCGCCTACGTCTACCTACAACGTGTATGTTACAAACTGTGTAACATTGTACGAGCGTGCTTAGCACATAGAAAGACTGATTGAAAGTGCGCATCTATGTGTGCCTCAACCGTCAACCAACGACTGTTGACACTAGCAACACAGTTGTATATTTTCGCATTTTTTTAAATGGGTTTACTCTTGACCTCTTCCTGGCCTTGGAGCAAAGATAGGGTTTACGATGAAACGAGCTCGCCCAAAAGATGCCTATTCAGTCGGACCACATTAAAGACATTCGGGTCGTGTTTGGAAAAATTCCCTGAAGAATTACATATAAAACGTACAATTTGTCATAATAATAGAAAGATCTACTTTTTTAAAATTCTAACCAATGAAAATTTTCTAAGAAACAGCGCTCCGACGAGAATTACTGGTGGACAATATTGTGTAACTTTGTAAGACGACCATGTTTCTTTTTTGCACAAAATGGTAAAACATTTTTTGTTTCAACAATAAATGCCAGCGATAATGTACCGTAACGAGGAAAAACAATCGTACACGAGATGAATTAGTGGCTTTGTAGGCTTTTTGTTTTTTTTTCCGTTTCTTGACTATGGTGTTACATGAGTGACTTACAGAGTTATGCTGTTTTGTTCTACACAACCAACTAATTAACGTGTACCCTGAGCTAAATGTATAAAATTTCATAGCATGAAACACTAAGTCACACGAAACTATGCAAACTTTTTGAGGTACAATTTTCAACAAAGAACTTCGGTTCTTTGTACTTTACGTACTTACATAATTTTTAGGGATACGCCACACAGTACAACACTACTTTAGGTTTAACACTAAATAGAATTGAAAATTCATAATTTCGTTTTAGATTCTCTTCTAATTCTACGTAAATACATATGTTTTTTGGAACGCAATTATAATTAACGTCCCAAAATTTATGTGAAAATGGAATGATTACATGTCCATACACATAAATACATTTCAGTAAATAATGTTTTACGTCCTACTAGTAGTTTTCGTTTTTCAGTTGTTTGGTTTTGAGTTATCACCCTAGAGGAAAACACATTGCATTTGAAAATGAGCTTGAAGTCCTCGATAAACATGACTTGTAAAGCTATAATCGTAAACAAACAATAAGTTATCTAACTTGTTAATAACTTATCGTTTACATTTAGTTCAATTAGTCTAAATACACAACACAAGTACGTACTATTTACTCCTTTTGATTAGATATTGCACGAAGTTGCATGCATATTATTTGGTTTCGTATGTAATCAAGATTGTGGGTATACATTAGATATTATTATTATGTCAGCGGTATAGTTATTACTATTAATAAATGTACATAAGTAATATTAAATGTAGATTCACGTTTATTTACTTCTTATGTTTAACGACATATTTGCCAGCATCTGTCAGTTAAAGAAATTACGGATTAGATATGATAAGGACTATAATTAACAATTAAGATTTTAAGCAGTGATACATTTTATTGTACTATTATATTCAAATACAAAATCGACAGGAAGGCTTGGAAAGGTTATTGAAAAACAATTGATGTATAACTAGGCTGATGGAATCATAATCAGTGCTGGTTGAGTTATTCCAGTATTCTGCCACGTGGTGGAAATTGTTATTTTCGTAATATCCTGCGCAGTGTTACTTACTCTATATACATTTTTTATTCAATAAAAATCTTGTTAAACCCTATATACTTATAAGGGAACAAAACCAGCCACAAAGTTTTATACTTGACTTAGATTAATAATTTTGTTTAATTTTATTTTTTAACTTAAAAAACAACGTCATTGATACCGGAACTCGGTCTCGCGTTAGTTCATTAAAAATATCAGCGGGATCACTTCTACGAATCAAATTTCGAACTAATTCCAGAAGTCAATCGGTAATGAGCACTTTTTTTACTATGTTAAGATGGGAGGTTCTTTTAAGGTTTATGCCACAAACAATTTAATATATCGTAACCATCACTATACTAAGGCCTTCAGAATAAAAGACGTGTAAGATTTTTTTTACCTTCAAGAAATTTTGATCTACTCTGACTGGGGCATATGCTAGTTAATTTCGTATGCCATTAAAAGGCAACATTAACTATAGACAACAACAGATGGATTCTGCTGCAGAGGCGTCTACCTGCAACAGAATCTATATTATAGTCTCTGCTCTCGCTTAGCTTTAAATTGGCAAAAAAGGGCGCACTTAGAAGTTCTCGAGCGCAAATTTAAAAAATAATAAATACTTTGGTAGCCATTTTCGTTATTTTAATTAATTACTTTGCTTACATACTTAATGACATAAAGTTCTAAATAGTGATGACTGACAAAAACAAAATTCAGTATTTGAGAAATCTCTCCTCCCGCCAGGATAGCGGCAAATTGTAATAGGATATATAGAAGATTGTTCAAATAATAAAATCCGCTGAAGACTCCTTCTTTCTGCTTAAAGTTGGGTAGGTTTCAAAATGGGTACCATAAAAACATAACGAATTCCTGCGAAAATATATCAGAAAATTATATAATTGAAGAATAAATAAAATCTAAGATTATGGCAACTAGACACATTCGAAGGACGAAAAATTTTACTACTAAGTCTATTGAAGTTGCGTAAGTGCTTTTTCAAACTACAACGTTGACGAGAATATAGTTGTACGTAATCCACACCAATGGTTCGAATGTTAACTACACAGCACATATTAAATGTGCCTACTGCACACGTAGTGAACCAGAATTTTATCACTCGCAGGCGCCAGGATGTTGACATTTGCCAGATAACACTGTACGTAGTTATGCCGAACTTTGTATAAAAACCTTTCGATCGTTTATCTGTTTTTTTTTTATTGACGCTGAAACTCTGTAGCGTACCTACTTATAGTAACGAAAAGTAAGTATGTAGGTATCTACTTAATATGTCGTAGACACATACCTAATAACGGTATAAAAATAATAAATATAATATCGATTTTAACATAGTTATTTAGATACGTATTTCAATATGATACCAAGAAACGGTCCACTGATTTAATTAATGAAATTGTTAAAATATAGATCCTGTCGTTTTCTGTAATTTGTTATTATAGATTAAAAATTATGATCGATTTTAGATAATTATCGATATTTTTGTTTAATGCTACTACTTATGATATCAATAATAGTGTTTTCTTGTAAAGTACGTGCTTGACTTTGCAATTGACAATACAAATAATTACTAAGAAAATGGCCAACACGATATCATAACGAATCACTTTTGTTCTTTATTTCACATTACTTATTTATAACGGAACGTTTCTTACTCAGCCTCTAGACACAACAATACGTACCTAAGCAAACCGAAACTAAATGAGCTCTACATTTTTATTAAGTCCCTAAAATCTCATAACACAGCGTATAATCCTTGGGACTTTAAAATTTCGAACAGATGTGTTGAGTTCATTAAGCGATTTCATACTATAAGGACTCATGTTTTTGGTACATTTTGTACGTAATTTTTGGAACTTTAAAACAAAGTTGTGCCATGCAATTGTTTGTTATCGAAAACAGTCCATGTTGTCGCGGTAGCCATAACCACCCTTTGTGTAAACTTGCGTAAGACGATGTGTGTGGTAAGTTTTATAAACATAGATGCGTTATTAGTTGAAGATATTTGTTTCTTGCATACTACAATATAGGCTTATATTTTTATGGTTTTACTACTTTATATAATATATGTATATTATTTATTATTTAGGATATTGGGTAAAAAAATGTCTGTTACATCTTGGTTTATTTTTATTATTGTTAATTACCCAGTACAATTTTGTAATTTCTAGATAGAACGGAAACGATTATAGTGAGTAATGGATATTTATATTTTTATTTTTATTATCTATAACAACTTCATTAAGTGTCTTTCGTGATGACTTAAATTATATGTAATTCTTCGTATTCGTACCTATATATAAAGATTATTATAAATCGTTGATATGTTATCTTTTTATCATTACGCATACGAAATGTAAATGAAGGAAGTCATGTGCTATAATATAACACTACTACTACTATAATATATAACTTTGTATAACTACGAAGTTAATTAGAAATTGCGAAGTAAGCTGAGATTATAGGCTATTAGGAAAGATATTGAGTAGGTTGTAATACTTGTAATCATCGAATCAAAGTTGGATTGTTTGTAGGTACACATTATATAAGTAACAAACTGACACTGAAGTTAGACAACACCATACAAATGGCTCATCGTTAATGTTTACAGTTAATGGGTTGTGACATTAAAATCACTGGTTGAGTGTCCTACATCTTAAAAAGGACCTAAGAGGTGTCAAAGTTAAAACAACTCTCCAGAGAGAAGGTTGCATCTCCTTTGTCAAAACATGGTTGAGCCGACGACGCCAAGGCGCAAGAGAACCTGTGACACCGACACCCCAATCTCCCCCGCCCCTACGAAATCCCCAAATAATACGTATCTATTAGAGCGTATATCTCCGATTCGCTTAAGTATTCCTCAAACATGAAGATAGTCGACGAAAAATTCGAGTGGAGAAAATATGTATGGCAGCAGCGGTATGCGAGGGGGTAATACGGCGGGTGTGGGGCGCGGGCGCCCCCCTCGTTCGACAGTTAGCTTACAGCGCTCGTGCGAGGAGGACGTATTACGTGTTTTGTATTAGCGAGTGCCCGCGTGTGACTGCCCGCGCGACGCCGAGTGTTGTTTCTGTGGAGTGGAGTGTGTGCTGTGTCCTATTACAGAGTGTTGCCTAGACCATGACCGTGTGTGTTTGACCTGGGAATGTATCCAAGCGCGGGCGCGATGAACGCCGCTGCCGCCGCCGCTGCCGTGGCGGCCGCCAGGCATCCGGTGAGATACCTCACGTAAATCATCCGCGAAATCTCGTCCACGCTGCAAATTGTCCCTTATATTGCCAAAAATTCGTTAAAACACTAACAAACTGCGAATACGTGGTACGAACGCTGTGCAACCATTCCAAGCAGCTTAATAAGCCTTTTAAACTTCTCTGCGTGTTTCTGATTTGTGAAGTCTCTCTATGAAGTAATCGAAAGCCACATGTTTGTTTCACAGTATGGTCAGTCTTTAATTTAGAAAATTGAAACATTTAGTTCATTACAAAACAAATCAAGACAATTAACGCGTAGCTCGGTGCAGCGTATGTCAATGTCTATACTCATTTCTAGGTAACGATTAATTAGTCGCTCTCACTCGCTGGTTTTAACGTTAGTTGTAAAATTATTAATAACATTCTATTTCTGCGTTCCTGGTAATTTAACAAAAGACGCATTGTTTTGCCATCAACTATTTTACAAAAACGAACAATTGGGAGAAACATGCCAGCCGTAAAAATAAATGCTGAGAAATAATACAGTGCGACGTGAACGAGCAAACAAAACGGGAGAATAACGGACCCCCGCAGGGTCGGCCCGGCGATTGTCAGACACGCTCAATTATCCGTGAAATTGCTGCAAAGGATTTTATCATATTGACGAATCAGCCCATTTCCTCCTTATTCAACCTTTAACACTCCAATGACCAAAAATTAGCCGGTAAAAATATTAATACCTACTCAATGTAGCTGTAACCACAATCCCGTGGGAAGACCCACCGAAAATTGAACGTTATGGCGTCATAATAGGATTTAAATTACCCTTTCCCGGACCGCGTCTAGCCGCAAACCGCAGCGCATCTGTTGCCACGTTTCCCGACGGAGAAAATTAACCACACAATTTAAAAATCAATTTACTGCCTTGTATTTACTTTATATACTGAGTTTTAAGAGACACGTCGTAAACTTTAGTTTATTTCATCGTTTATTATAATAGCTCGAAATTACCCGAGCAATTAAAAATTAACCACTTTACGAAGCTATCTTTAATTACTTTAGTTTTAAAGTTTAAATTGAAAAGTGCAATCGAGTACTTAATTGCATTTTAAATAAGGAAAGTTGTAAAAGAAGCAATCGTATCGGGGAACGGCTGGAAGGTACTTACACCGAAGGCCGCGGGTGAGGTTCGCGCGCCGCTACTAAATAAGATGGTAATTAATATGTCTAATTAGCACCGCGCTACTAATAAAATGCGATCTGATAATGTGCTGCGATGCAACTAAACTACTGGCGTTTTGTCACCTGTTTATTTGTTATCGCTACGAACAATTTAGCCGTCCGTCACGTGATGTCCATTAAAGCGTAAAAAATATTCGCTCGGTAATAAGCAGTGCCTACAATAGCGCGAGTGGTGCGATTATTGTCGCGCATTCCCACGCGTTGTGCACACCATTTTATAAGTTTATTGTTGACATTCGTGACCACTCTATTGCGAACTCCCCTACCGTCAAACCCACTTCACAAAAGTTAAATGGCGAAGCTTTTTAAGGGGTCTCGGTGAGATGGGCATTGCGCTGGCTAAGTACAGGAAGTCGTCAGACGCATGTCTTTTGATGGATGCTTATTAGCTTCAACCGTTAATGCTCGCCTTATGAGGATTAAGTAGGCTTTTTGTAACGTGAAACTATTTGATATCGTTTAATATATGAATTTATAAATTTACGTGTTATTTAAATGACGCAAGTATAATGTTCGTTCATATAAAGATGTTATTAAGGCGGGTTTTCCATTGTTAGTTGTGGTGTATTTTTACGTATTTGTGAGTGTCATAGATGGTCGGGGTGAGGTACGGGGAGAGAGGGGTGTTAATGTAAATGCCTATTTGTCTGTTTGCTCAAAATCCGTGTCGCGTCTTAGTCAATATTGGACAGACGGAATTACCGTACGAACAAATGAGATGGCGTCTCTTCACATATTCCACGTTTCTTCAAACACCGTCGAGCACACACGCACTCGTTAACTCCGAATATTTTCCTTAGACTTTGTAGATTCTTTATCTTATTCCTTATCTCGTGTTTTTTAATGCAGCCGAGTGGTAATTTTTTAAAGGTTTGTGGCGCGAAATCGGTGTCATTAACACGAGTGATTACATGAAGGGTCCTCAAAGGAAATGTAGGTGTCTTGTCAAAGGGATTATCAAGAGCGATAAGTGGAGTGTTTGAGTCAATGTTCGCCCGAAATTATTCCCTTCATTCGTCGCGATAACGCTATCAGTTTACGCGCAAACACTCATTTGGAGTATGCAAACAATGCTTCGTCATAATCAAGATGCCATCAACGCATCCACCTGCATGGGAATTAAACAGCACATAGTTGGGTAATTACTCGACAACTACCGAACACTCTGCCAACACTTAGTGAGGATACTTAATTTCCGATGTTTAATTTTGGAAAATTAGACTTATCGTAGTAGTTTCATGGCTATGATTTCAAAAGCATTTTCGTCAAAGATTACGGCGACAAATTGAATAAAAAAAAAGCCATAAAAAATATAGAGTGACTGTATACTCTAGAAGACTTGTTAAATTTTCCAAGAATTTTCTGTCATATGACTGACCAACCGACCCTACCTACATCGGGCGACAAACGGTGTTGTGTTTCTGAGAAAATAAAATCAGCTTTCTGATCCCTGCGCTACCATATTAGTTTACTAGCATTTTTTAAAACACCACTCCATAAGGGCGTAAGCCGCACCTGAAACTTTTCCCTATTTAAGTTCTGTTTCTATATAAATAGAGAACAAATTTGTATGTGACGAGTCGACGTTAAGCCGTAGCGTGATAAAGTCAATCTCGGTGTTCAAATATTTGTGTATGCTTGTTTGGTTTGTAAGTGCGAATGGTGTTTAGATGTTTACAGAGCCGCTGAACTTGTACGCTCCGGACCAAGCTAGCTTAATACTACTAATACATTGCTGATATGGATCTTATGCATTCGTTTACCCCTCTAAAATTCTCTTTATTATTCCAAAACGGCTCATTCATTCGTTTCGAAATTTGAACGCAAATAAAAAAGAAATCGTCGCACAGGTAGACGTGGGCAGACAGACGTATTCAATAAAATTTGAAATAAAAACACGTATTTCTTTTTATATCCGTTTAAAGGTAGGCTGTTTAGTTTTGTTTTTATACCAGTCGCCGCTGGATGCGGGCCTTTCATCCGGACCCTCTACACAATAGTGCCACTCAAAAACTGTTCATTGTATTTTAATTTGACCTTTTCGGCGATAATTTATGGGAATCTTTTTTTTGTGTCGAGGGGAACGTTTACTCAGTCTATTATTGCCGTGGATTATTTTCATTCCTTTTGTGATCGATTTGAAGTTCGGATGGTCGATCTGGCAGCGTCACTAAATCGATGTATTTACTTTAATGATATACCTCGTGGGAATGTTTAAAAAAATACGAGTCTTGTTAATGAGTTTAATTAATTTTTAACACTACCCGCGTAGTTAATTAAGACGATTAAAGTAAAAAAAATTAACTTATATTACACTTTTTTATTACCTCTAAGCGGGCCATTAATTTTGCTAATAGCCTGCAGTTGCGATATTCAAAATTTAATCTTAATAATTTGTTGAATAAATCGATAATAATAGTTGTGTATTTTGTATTGGTAATGTTTACATTAAAACAGATGTTATTAATACGTTGGACGTTTGTCCATCGATCGGCGTGTTATACAATTTTATTATCGGTAACGTTTCGTTTAACCTAGTCGTAATGTTATTTTTATATGGTGATTTAAACGCACTCGTAAAACATTTTACTTATAAAGGCACTTCCACACAACATCTATAATAAATATTTTAAATACGATCTGTATTATATAAGTATCACACACCACTTCAGTGCCTTTTACGTGGTCTCGCAATGTTTCGGAGCTCTTATATGGGTATATTACAGAAAATATAATTGTTTCTCTACGTTGACAGTGTATTTTGAATTGTAACATTGTGACATTGTTACACAGTGCCACAAATTATTCTTTCCCATATTATATTACCAAATATTTTTTAATACTGATATGGAACCTTTAAGGCGGCCTTCTGGCGCTGCTCGAAGCGAAAACACCACGGTCGTGTTGGGTATCAGATATTTTGAGATAACGATGAATGAAACAAATATATAATAACCAGCCAGTCACTTTTGGACGATAACATGCAAGTTCCGGGTACGTCCCATTTGACAACTGAAGTCGTAAATTACGGGAAAAAATCGAATTAGTTACTTAATAGTATTACCGTGCTATTTTACAAATACATGAAGTGTCGCCTTGTTTTACAAGTGCATAATCCATAGGCTTTTGAAAATCAATGATGTCAACGTACTTTAGCCTCTAAGTTAAATTTTGTCGTGATTTTATGTCATTAATAAAATTAATCACCGGAATAAGTCGCTCGGCAGAAACACAAAATTTTATGAGCCTATAAATTTTTTTTTTTTTTCAAAATTCGGGCTAACTAAATTAAGGTTCTTGTTTCATGGCGCCAAGATTTTAGTACACAAATCGCATTTAAAAATGGGATAAAGAATAAATAAAGTCTATTATACTTTATTGCATTAACATGCGTAATATTTTGTTTGTATAAGAAAGAAAACCTACATATAGCGGGAATAAAAGTATCACGCATACATGAGGTGTCGGCATGCCACATGTGGTGCGGCCGCTACCGCTCAGTCGTTTTGCTTCGTTCTTATGTCGTTTTGCTCTCGCTTTCTTAGCACAGAACACGCCACTTTCAATTTACTTTTATTATTCGATCGAATGATCCGCTGATGTGAACATGGTTAAGTAATTACTACACGTCTCCCATCGAGCAGAAACAATTTTTTGTTACTTGTGTTACATAGTTGACCAAATTTATGGGAGTCTAATCGATGTGACAGATCAAGACTTTGACTATTATGCTATGCATTTGTTTAATGTGACGTTCAGTTTTCATTAAGTGTTGTAAGGAAACTAGCGATTTGTTCCTATAATGAATAATTCTCACAAACGCAAAAGGCCATTTGTATAAGAACACGGGTGCATGTGGTCATTCGTGATGTCATTACATTATTAAGCGCGATCGACCATCTCTGCGGCGAGGCGGCCGCGTTGGAGCACGACCGCAAGCCTATATCTCCGGTTGTTACATTCACTAAATTCCTGGCCACATTTTTCCCGAGCCCGATTGTCCGCAGCTCCATTTACAACGTCTACACGCCGCGCCAGTTCCTTTTACGCTTTTATTTACGCTCCTTTTATTATTTTTAAAGTCCGTTTGTTCCTCGCGCCGGCTCCGAGCGCGGTTATTTATTTTTTGCCGCCGGCCTCCCGGCGACCGTGTGTTGTTGTGTCCCTCGCTTTATTTTTATTTCGTGCTTCTTATTATGGAGTTAGTTTTTTTGTTTATTTTTTACTTTATTATTACTTGCTCGCGTGTTCACGTTGCTTTATTTTTGTGTTAAGAGGCAAGGGGTCGGCGTTTTTTTTTTGCACTAATCGAGACTCACACCGAATTATGGTCATTAAAGGATAATTTGTATTATGGTAATTTGGGATGCGTGTAATTTTTGTTTCGTGATATTAATGTTTTTGTGTTCAGACTGAGATTGATGAGTGCCGTTGTGTGCGTTGGCTCCGAACTGTTGCGTGTTAAGTTTATGCTCGCTAAACGGTGTTAAATTAAGACTTCTTTTTTCCGCTTAGAAAATAGTGTTAGCAGTCTAATTGCGGCGGTAATTGATTGCCGATGATGTATTTTCCTAATGTGCTTCTATTTTGCGCAGGGTCCTCCACAACCCGGTCAACCAATCAAGTTCACTGTCGGAGAGTCCTGCGACCGAATCAAAGAAGAGTTCAACTTCCTTCAGGCCCAATACCACAAGTAAGTGTCGACCCTCATTTTATATATGTTATGTTAACAAGAGGTATACATACCTCACCCGTTAACATTTAATGATAACATACTTAACGTACTTACATGGCATTGAGTAAAGGAAATTGTAAATTACATTTATTTAATAACATTTAGAAATTTATATTCGAAGACCTCAATGACCTTAAACAGTTTGCCCTGGGGTCGCTGAATGAGAAGGTACCGCGTTCGATACCCGGTATGACCAATTTGGGAAACAAACGTATTCTAGGTAGTACAATTCCGTTGCTCTGGTACTCGTAGTACAGGGAATTCCCTAGTCTAAAATCTGGTTTTGGAATGATAATGTTTGTAAAAGCCAATAGGAAACATCCGTTAGATCACATTTTTATTTAAATGAAATTATTATACATAATATGTAAAAATAATGGTGTAAAATCTTTCCTTTCTTTACGTTTTCATATAGGCATTTATCTATGACAATACAAATATACTCACAAATTTGGAATACCTAATAAAGCACCTCGCAAACAAAATGGTTAAACAAACGTCACAGTTAGCATTAAAAATTTTGGTCAGATTAGTCATATCGGACATTATCGTCGTAATATATCATTTACTCACTTCTTCAAATAACTGACTTAATTCGTAATCAATCACCAACCGTCAGACATGGATTGTTTCTCTGATAACAGTAACTCTGAGTTTCGCACAAAATAACATATTAAATATAAGTCATTTATCTATCTGGAACATGTTAAGCACACGTCCAAGGCTTAAATTAAACACTATTCCAGTTACGATAAGAATGCTGTCCAGCGAATTGAAGACTGTACCTTAGTATAATAAGACATGTGTGGTGACTCCATACAAACGTAACAGCGTGTCTTGTATGTGTGCGCCCTCCGCGAGCCGTGTACGGACGCAAACATTCGCATAATCATTGAACTCACGCGTCCAGAAATTGGCAGTGGATTAGAACCCAATGAACCCGTCCGGGTTTTTAACCAAAGCTCCGGGTTTAACTCATTTTTGCCTAAAATCGCGTGCGGAAACCATTATACGTGTAAAATAATACAGAAGTTAATATAATTCCGTACTTATTAGGAATTTCCCCAAAGTTAAACAGATAATTGTTTTAACCAAAAAGAGTGACAACTATAGAATATCATCCGTGCGTTGTAGAAAGGGCGAAAGCGCAATTTCAAAAAAAAATCGTGGGAGCACGTTTTAGGTCTTAACGATTGCTTTAAAATATTTACTTCCAGTTTTAAAATCCAAGTTTGGTTTCAATTAAGTTTAAGTTTTAAAATTGTATTTAAAACAGAATGTAAATATTTTAAAATTGTCGTGAAAAAATAAAACGTGCTCCCTGAATTTTTTGTGGAAATAGCTTTCGCCCTTTTATACGATACACAGACGATATATTCAAATCCATCAGTCCATTCGTCATTTACTATGGTAAACTACTGGTATGGTATGGTACTATGGCGCGAGGCGGGTCGAGACCGCGGCGGATCTAATTCCATGTATTTATATGGACGAGACACCACGAGCGCGGGAGCGAGCGCCCGTCCCGCTCCGGCTCGCTGTATGTTTCTTTAAGCAGGACGGGATTTAAAGTTTGAACGCTGGTAGGCCAAGACTTTTTGGGGTGATTTTTAGGTTAGTTTTCTACCTAATTATCGTTAGTTTTCTACCTAAATTTTGATGACAATATTATTTAAATATTGTGGAATATTATCTTGAAGTATTATTTAATATTCGAGTGTAGGAACCTGAAATATTATTTATATTTAATATTTCACCATAATTTACTTAAATAAGTAATAAAAATTGCCACCGAAATTAGGTAGAGAAAACCAACCTGGAAATTACCCTTTTGATACTTATTATAGTTATGACCTCCTGGCATAGTGCGCCTCTAGGCCTAGTGAGCCCAGATGTAAATCCAGCCCTCTCTTCAAGATGGTATTCCTGGAAATCTATTTTATATTGTTTAAAGACACTGTTAATAATATCATAATTATTATGAAATATTTACGAGGAATGAAATTTAGTAAATATATGAAATGTGCTTAAATACACGACAAGGAAAAAAGTGTTTTTTGTCTCTTTGATCTTTTAAATGTATTCATATTTAACCTGCTTGAGAGTCAGACAGTAATTCACACATCAGTCGTATTATATCAGATCAAAGTAGTTCCACGCGTAATCATGAAAAAGTGTCTTATTTACCGGTGACGAAGGTGGATATTGGAAGATTGTGAGTGTATACAAAACAAATGTTCCAATAAACGACTTAACATTATATTTCGCAGCTTCTTTCTAAGCGATTTATTAACAGATTGCAACTAAGCCTTCAAGCTATAACCCCTATAAGTATTTCAGAGGTAAATTTAAAAAATATACATTTGACATTGACAGCCGAAATTCTAATCATTCTTAAAGAGTGTATTTTTTTTAAACTTTGGCTTCTCCTTAGACTATTCCTTTATTTTTTCCATCTTTTAAGGGAATTGTAAGGTTTTTTGATACAAAAGTGCGCACAAAATGTGGCGTACGTTTTTCTTTTTTTTTTAGTGAGATCACGATTTCAGTATTGTAGTCCTTGTCTAGTGGGGAGAGTGATATAAATCGCGTGGAATGAAGCTGCTCATATAATTGTGATCGAGCTTCACGTACAGGTAAGTGCGTTTGATCGTCAATTCATTCGTCTTCTCCAAGGAGAGTTAGGCAATAAATAGTCTGCCACACTGGCCCAATGCGGGACCAATAGGGGGAGTTCCCACGTTTTCAAAGGATTGTGAACGTTCTTCGATACAGGTTTTAATGTACGCAACTTACAAATTACAGTCATTTTTTCAGATTTTGATAGAGTTCAGATTTTGATATTTAAGCTTTTATGTTATTCCAAAGATAAAAATAAAGGAAGTAAATTAATGTATGAAATGAATCAAGCACATGCAATAGTGCACGTAAGTACCTCAACCTGTGACTGCACACATTTGTGTATAAAATAATAAATCAGTAAACACAGACGATCTGGGATTCATCACCGGGTATCAAGGGCAATCCACCTGTCTCTTTGAGAGCACCATTTTACATTGTCCCGAGCATTTTTGTGACCTTCTGTTGTGAAAAAGGGGACGTTTTCGATATAAAAAACTTTAAGAGGCTTAGCGAAGATCTTGTGTTCATATAGGGAAGTAAAAATAGGGCAATAAAGTTGCAGTGAAATAATATTAATGTAAAACTACTTTACTATCTTTGTTTCTATTTGTAAATATGAAAGTGAGAAATTTTAAATGTTTCTGAGTTGTTTTAGAATTAAGTCAAAGGAGAAAAAAGTAAAAAGTTTAATGTCCAACTAAGGTGTGAGTTTTGTGTTGATTTAAAAATGGCTTATTATCTTTTTTACAATTATTCTCTCTAATCCGAGACAAAAAAAATCAGTTAAATATGAATGAAAAAAAGGTACGAATTTACAGCAGTAGGACATGTAATGTTTGTTAATAAGTTGAATCAATATCTTACAATATACCACACACGTGTCAAATTTTAAATTGTTTTATTTCAGGGTAAAGACTTCTGTCACACTCAGTACCAAAAACAAGCCAATATACGTAGTTTAGGCGAGACGTCGCTAGATGGCATTAAATCAATTTTAAATTATATGTATCTTGAAACGCGCTTTTAATGTTCTGAAAATTTTAAAAACTACAGAGTAATATTGAAGGGTTTGGTGGCAAAACCTGTTAACCTGACAATAATTTAGAGAAAAAGCTTAGACACGTTTGATCTATTGTTAAAATTTAGCAGTAATTTGTTAAAATTAAATGAAGTGGCGCAATTTCATAGGTATACGTTTCGTCTAAGACACATTTTGGTTCGCAGAGCCAGCGGAGTAGTAGTTAATTTGGCATTCGTGAGGTCGCTGTGACTTCAATACTTACTTAAATTAACCTGTAATGATTTTGTGTATTGTGAAACATATTACATTTATTGAAGAGTATCAATTATATTACCTAACCTTCAATTAATCGACCTTTCTGTGTTATGACAGTTTTTTAGAGAATTAACAAGGAAATAATTTAGGCTTCAACGGTACTATGAGCGCTAGAGTAACTGTATTCTTACAAGGAACCAAGTTTGAGGCCGGGTAATTGGTGTGGCTATCTGGTACATAATTATTATTAAATAAGAAAACATTCTGATAAAATAATTCTGGCTATAACTGGTTATAACCAGACGAAAAATAAAAAAGTGTAGGGACAAGATAGCGATTTCGTCCTACAGGATGTTATCACGTAATCGCGACGCGGTAACCGATATCACGAGGGCCTCCTTGGTCGATACTATTGCAGAATGAAGATGTTTGATATTCAATTAAGAATTATATGAAATAGGTACTGTCATGTAGCTTAATGATGTGATATTGGTAAAACTAAAAATAAACATTCTTAAATGTTCAAATGTATTCTATGTCGGTAAAAAAGTACCTGAAAGTACATCCATTAATATTTCAAATAACCAAGCTAACAAAATAAATGAATATGTTAATGCAATCTGAACTTTAATGTTTCAGTAGCACTTGAAAGAGTTTGTCCAGGGTAGTATTGCCACCTTACCTATTTCTGCCGCCAAACAGTAATGTCAGCATTACTGTGTTCCGGTTTTGAAGGGAAAGGGTGCTGGTAAAATTACAGGCACATGGGACTTGTCAACTTATGTCTTAGATCTTTGCGATTTAAAGCTCTGAGTGACACTGTTATGGTCAGTCGTGTAGCTTACTATCAGGTGCACGACTTGTTCGTCCTGTCACTTGATATTATAAAAAAACAATTAAGCACATTAGTCGCAGTCGATCGAAAAAAAAGTTTCATTGCCTATGTGTAACAATCGCGAAAATGTAAGAACTTGATATACAAATAATTGGTTTTATCGCTAAACCCAGGAATATTAAAAATTTGCCATTGGAACATCGTTGTTGTTTGATGTGGTATTTTTGGGACCTTATTCTGTCGACTAAAACAAAAACATATTTACGTATTCTCGGTATGAATTATTCAATAATTTTAAAAATAACTAGAAAAAACAAGTGTCAACGCCAAGGCGATAAAACCCAACAAGTTTGACCTACTCGCGATAAAGTATAAAATAACTGTTATAAAAGTCTTATCGGACTATAACAAGTGCTCTTTAAATAGAACATAATGTAACGTAATACTCTGGACGGAAACTTAATTATTGTTTTTTTTATGTAACTCAAACTTGTGTTACATATAAATGCTTTTAGTATTGCCATGTTACCTTTGAGCCTTTAATAATCTTAACACAAATATAATTTTTAGTGCCTAAAACATGACTGTAAACGAAAAACATTTTTAAAATGCTTCTTTTTTGTTACAACGTACTGGCTGGTACAAAATATTAAAATATGTTCCCGTTTGTTTCAGTTTAAAATTGGAATGCGAAAAGCTGGCTAGTGAAAAAATTGAAATACAAAGGCATTATGTTATGGTAAGTTGCACTTTTCATTTCTGCGTAGAACGCACGCACGGCCACACGACAAACACTACCATATCTTATTTAGATAATGCAAATTTTAATTTCGCAAATTTAAACACTGTCGTTTGAACGAAAGAAGTATTAATTTCCAATGGATGTTTTGAAAGTTTGAATGCGCTATAACTGTGGCTCACCGTACTCACGACTTTCAACTATCACGTTTAGTTTATGCCAACATTATTTTAAATATTTCTAACGATTTATCTAATGTTTGTATAAGACAGCCGTGATCGCTTCATGAATGTTGCAGCATTAGCGCATACAGACATGTTATTGTGTTGTAGCTGGTTCAACGGTTAAACACTTTGGGTCGTATTCTAGAACTCTAATCAATGATCAAGTCAGGACTTGAGTATGATTTAAAGCACTAGAAATCATACTCTAGTCCTTGCCATTAGGGTCGTATTTCCAGTGCTTGAAATCATACTCAAGTCTGCTCAAATCCTGACTTGAGCATTGATTAGAGTTCTAGAATACGACCCTTTGAGTATCATTCGAGAAGGGGTTGGGTTCGATTCCCGATTAAATCTGAACTTATTGTTACTAAGCACTGTATGGTACTCCCAATACAGTCGCCTGCATGCCATTGTTTACAAGTAGCAAAATTAAAAACGGAATAATCTTAATCATTTGTCGAATTATTACAATATTTGATCCATTAAACATTTGCAAATAATGCTTCATGTTCACATTCAATTACAGGCGACTGTACTCACAGTTAATTGGTCACCATATAATTGGTGAAATTGTTTGCCACATAATTATATTTATTAATGAAATTTAAATAATTAATTTAATAGTACATAGTAAAAAATTAATACTGTACTCTTAGGCTCAATTTACATTGCGGCGGAACGGAATGGAAGCCAATTTTTGTAACAGTATTCTTATGCGGTCGCTGGAATGCTCGAGGATTCCGACGTAATTGACGCTTCAATTCCGTTCCGTTCCGCCGCAATGTAAATTAAACCTTACAGTCAATTTAACGGTTCAAATAGATGGATTAATTTAATGGTCAAATAGAGATGTCCTACCAGTTATAAAATGCGTTCGAGTGTGAAGCCAATAAATGTGTCCTTTTGTTACACCCGCATCACTATTATTAACAACCAATAGTCCCACCCGATCATTATTAAAAGATAGGGCCGAATAATAAAGCTCTTTGTGTTCATACGAGCGTAATAAAAACGAGCTGCATTCCGACTGCAATTGAACTGCAAAATGAATTTTATGTCATAATATTACAACCTAAATACAATGTCCCTTCCCTGAGTAAGTGTCGTAATTAGGCAATGTTTACAAGGGCAAGTTGTCGCACCTGTAGAATGTAAGTGACCCAACACAAAATCCCATGAAAAAATTCAATGGTTTGAAGCCAGCTGAACCAACGGAATTTTTCTTTGTTTAATCTTTGTATCAATAATAACCACAAAGTACTGGAGTATTACAAAAAAAATACATAAGTGTCATTTTAGTAAAAAACACATAAAAAATATTATTAAAATACATAGACGTCAAAAAACTTGCACTGTATGGTTCATTACAATTTTAAAACTCACACTCGGAATGCAGTTCGTGTGAATATATCTTTAGAGGTAGCCCCGTGTTAAGTAAGTGCAATGTATCAATATGTTTCTATACATGTCGCCATCTCACCATAGAGAACATAATGTCCCATACATATGAAGTCATGTATTTATTACGCAGCCGATTACTTACCAGCTCGGCGCGGCGTTCTACAAACGTCTGTTCCGTTTACATGATACCGAAAACACGTGTTTTCCGAGTTGGTTTTCTGAGCGATAAAATTCCAATGTTCCCTTGTAAAATGTATAGGTATTTTGGCATGCACTAATCCCCGCATGCTCGTTCCATTCAAACATGAATCACGATTTAGTGTAGCCAAATCGCTCGCAATTTATTTTAATACGCTCGAGAGGAAATTTTCGCGGGCATTTTTATGTGTCGGAAACACTTCTGGCTGCCGTCCAAACGCGGCTTCTGCGGATGTTTAGTCACTCGCCTCCTATAATTTGAGGAAGCTAATCTCTGCCAAAATATTTCCCTGGCACACTTTCGAATGTTTAACATTTTCACGCATTGTTGTCAACTGTAATATATTCTAACTTGTCACATTTGTGTTTCAGTACTATGAAATGTCTTACGGTCTCAATGTGGAAATGCACAAACAGGTATGTACTACTTTATTTTTAATCTTGTCGTAAATATTTAATTTCATTAATGGATTTCGTTCTCTGTTCAATTGCAAAAAATTTCTTTGACATTGTAACACATGCGTTGTATAAACTTTAAAAAAAAACCAAAGGCTAAAAGAACAACGGGAATCCATGAATGAATAAGGTTCTACATAATTTTTGTTTATTAATCGTAAAGAAAAATGTTTACACATTCCGACAAATCGTAAAACATTAAATAGGGGGAAATTTTATTAGTAGCGGTCGGCGAAGTGGCGCTTTAGGGAAACGCTGTATAAAAGTAAAAATATCATGTTATTACGCTGCGCCTGTTTGTTGGATAAAAGTTGTTTGACAGTTGCTCCAGGCGGGGGCAGCCGCCGACCAGCGTTGCCCCTTGTTTCAGGGGGAGGCTGTACCTGTCCACTTTGTTGGCGTTTTGATTTTAAAATTTTGATACACTTTTTAAACAGATTCAAATCCGTTTATCTAATATTTGTAATAACAGATTCTTTCAATTTCTAATTTTAAATGTTTTCGATATTCCAAATGCGGTCTTTGATTTTAAGTTGTCTATTTAGTTTAATGGCTTGTAGGAAAGTAATAATATTATTTGTCTAACACAACAATCCGAACGGGCGGCGGTTGAAGTAATGTTGTGACGGCGTTTATTTCAATGGAATAGAGCTGGGGTAGCTCCCCTAATGCGCGCGACTAAAGTGGAGACTGGAGACAATATATCTATGAGTTAGAGACGCTTAGTAGAATTCACAAAAAGGGGACCGCTGTTAGGGTTGACAATAACAATTCAAACTACAGATAAAAGTATAAATTATTATGTAACCAACAATAGAACATTAAGTCATACGCTGTAAAAAAATGGATTTATAAACCACGTTCAGCTAAACTTAAAACTCTGTTCAATTTCAAATTTAAAACTTAGTTCAAAATGAGTGTTTACTAATTATGTGCATAAAATCAAATAATGTATAAAGTACACATACTGTTTAACAACACAAGTTGCATATAATAATTAAATTGCATCTTGGAGTCGTTTTGCTCTCCTCAAAGTTTGTTGTTTTTTCTATTCACACGAAAGTCAAAGAGGGATTTACTGCGCGTTAAATACAAAAAAAAAGGTTATAAAAGGCAATGGTCGTATTCTCGACAACCCTGACCGCAGGAACAATAGCTATCGCTACGAATAGATATTTCATGCGCCAAGGGTTCCTTATATTAGAGGGGAGAGCAGGGTTCCGTAATCTGTTGATTTTACGCTCGCCAGCTCTCTACCCCGGTTTTTAATAATAACCGTGCTTTAACACGGCCTCAAAACAGAGCCGAAATCAATTTAAAACGCTCCAACGTCTAATAAGAAACACTCATTCGCTTCACACATTAATAATTCTCACGTGGATTTTTAACGCGAAGCACCTGTTTTCGTACTCGTGTTGTGATTCACTTCCCACCTTTGTTTTCATAAAAGCTCTTTATAAAATATATTTAAAAACGGCTTTTGTTTCTATATTACTCGTGAATCAGTACGATACCGAAGACAATTGGTTTCTGGAACTGTGAGGTACTTGATTGAATATTTGTATATATATCTAATTTGTATTTGAAGATATACTCAAAATAGTATAGCCGGCGGCAGTGTGCAATATTTGTTTAGGGTCTAGCGAACTTGCAGGCAGGGGTGATTACGAGGGGTCGCATTGTTTGCTTCTGCGGCGGACAGATGGCGGCCCCCGGCTCAATGCCTGAATGCGCTATTTAGCGTACACTGCCGAGCTTCATTGTAATGGATTATTACATTAGCACTTAACACGCTCAGTCGAGCGAGAACCAGAATACCCCTCCGACTTTGTTAACGCTTTTATACTGTTGCATGTAAGCGTAATAGAATAACAAGTAATGTTTTTATGTTTTTCTCCGGTATCACGCTTGTTCTCTGACTAGTTGCGTGACCGTCGATCGTTTTGGGTTAAACACTCAATAAAGCGAGATTGAAATTTTGGGAACTGATACGCTTTTTTTCAAGTTCCATTGAACTTGTGACGTTTCAAGGTCGTGGTTGATCTTTTTGATGATTGTAGGCGGTCTAAAAGAAGTGGTGCGATACAGTTTCGGTAATAAGGTCGATTTTGTGTCGTGTTGTGCGCGCGACGACTGCTCGCGTCGTGACCGCGCCGCGTTACGGCATGACCGCGTCTAACGCGCGTTTTCCGCTCTTTCTGACGACGACTAATTGCTTAGATTTTCTTTTGTTAGTCGCGGGCTGGAGCGTAGTGCGGCCGTGCCGAATCGCATCTACTTACGCCGTGAATTGATTGTTTCGTCTTTGTGTGGCTGTATCGACACGGAGACTCATTGTTCTGCGCGAAGCTATTATTCACGCCCGAGCTGACTTTCACGCTGTCGATTATTGCAAAAGTTTCCGAGTTTAGAACCGGTCGTTGACTACGCAAATTGTATTTATGCTTTTCATCTATACATATGCTAAACGCACCTTACAATTGTACAATGAGTTATTGAGCCATTAAAGCTGTCAGCATGTGGTTTAATGCACGAAGCGGTCTATGGGTTGTGCTCTGTTTTAATCAAGCTAAAAGCCTGTAATCACAATGACATAAAGCATATAACACACCCTAGGAGCGTTTATAACTCTTATAACACATTCCCAAACCCACGCATCACTTAACACAGCGATAAAAAAAGAGTTATAATGAAAGTCAATAGCTGAAATGTAATAAATTAATAACGGTGGAGTGATTTCATGAAGTGTCACTGGGGAGACAATAGGGCTGTGTGTGCCGATAAAATACTTTGTCGAGGTTTACGAGCACCCCCTTCTCTAGAAGGGTGTGGAGGGATGCCGTGCCTCATCGACAGATGACGCACATAGGTTCTCTCAATATTTTAGAGATTTTTTCATTGACACAATATTGCTGAATATTCTAGTAAACGTAAGTACCATCATCCGACAAATGGTTTCTCTTTTAAATACCTAATATGTAGCATTGTCTTCTTTGATTTCTTTATTTGAGTTCGTTTGACACGTCATTAATTATATTATATTCGCTACTCGAATATTTATAATTACAATCGAAAATAAAAAGTGCGTTTTCCAATAATTTGTCAAATTCCTGTTGTGGAATAAAAATAAAAAATTAGAAGGAAATGTAAATTCTAATTTCTGTTTCTAATTAATTTGTCAAAGTAATCGGAAATTGACGACATCCGTCAATCGACATCAAATTAGCATAACAAAATTGAAATGCAATCAAAACGTAACGCAATTCAATCTCTAAGCATCCAACATCTAACTCGAATCACGCACAGTGTAAAAATCAATCTGAGAGTGCGACCGTGGCTGTGCGTATAATTTAATAATTTAGGGTTATTTCGACTTCGTGTCGGCTGCCCCTCGTCTCTAGCCTTGATGTACTCAAATTATTCATACGCGGGAGGAGGTTTGTTTGCCGGCGTTCTCTGTGCAGTGGGGTGCGTCACACCCGCCGCCGCCGGCTCTCATTGATAAAAACAGAGCACGTGCCGATCTGCTTACCTACTATTTATAATGAAACTGGGGATTTCACTGCCTCTAAGCCTCTAATCCTATTTGCGTTCAGCTTTATTCCATCAAACAACAGTATTTGCAATGTACCAATAGCACGTAGGATATCTACTTGGCATGTTAACAATTAGCCCTTATCAATTCAGACGTGTAAGTTAACGCATCAATTTACGAATACCATAATTTCCTCAACCTTATTACTTTACTGATTAAGTGTTAAATCAAACAGGATCGGTTTTATCTTAATTATGTTGTAATTAAAATTGTTGTATCTAATCTGTTTAATAATCGCTCAAAGTCGGATAATTACTTGAGCTATAATTTGATCGGAGATATGCTTAATATCTCGCTATAAACGTTAATTGTTGTTTATAGAGCATGTTGTTATTTATTAAATTATAGACAATGGAGATAGGTAGAGTGTACCGTAGCGTGTCGGTGCCGGGGCGTTATCAAATTACGAGTAGCGCTGAGTGTTCACATCAACGTGCAGCCGTCGTCGCGTCGCGAAGGGTCCCATATAATGGGCGTACTATCTCAAACATCTACACCAGGATGTACAGCATTGTAAATTGTCTAAACGAACGCAACAACTCACAATGAACGCTCCGTCGCCCCTCACTTTAAAAGCGAAATTATCTCTCCATCTACAGGGTGCGTCACGCGGCAGATGGCGCTTGCAATAAAACCACTAAACGCGATATCGCTCGCTCGCTGCCCCTCGCTTTATTATTTGATCGGGGAGCCAAATTAAAGGATTTGCTGTAACCCCTCGCTGGCGACCCTCGCCCGCCAACAATCACCTCTGTATTAAGTCTAATTGTGTTTTCAAATTCGACCCCTATAACGCCAGGGGACGTGGTGTGCGCCATGTGAAAAAATAGGGCGCATTCGCCCTCGTGGCTTTATTAAATTCGCTCACACAGCTCGCTCTGCAGACTTAACGTTTCATTTAATCAAAAACGGCGAATAATTTACTGAATCAATGTTCGTGCGCGTCGAGTTTTCCCCTGTAATGCGTGGTCGTGAACACTCGTGACTAATAAACAGTTTTATTGCTGGCCCAAACCACGCAATGAAACAACGTAATAATATGTGCTCGCTGCCAGCTATCTGATACCCATTAATCTCGCTATCATGTTCTTATTCCTGTAGTGATACATCATTGGATTTTATTACAAGTGTCTATCTTTCGATTGATGTTTTTATATCTTTTATCGTACGTACGTTTAGTTATTAAGTATTATCATCGTCAATGCTAAAGTATTATTTGACAGTTAATAAGGAAATATTATTTTTAGCCTCGGGCTGTATAAGGGGGCGAGTTTCCAGTAGTTAGTTGTCGGATCCCCGCGCTCGTTTAACGTGATTCTCGTTTATTTCTCGCCCCTCCGGCTCCAGCGTCGGCGGCGCGAAACTA